ATTCATATGGCTACATAAGTGAATTGTCTGGCTCAATGGTTAATTTCAAAACAAAGAATGTGTCTTCTTTGTTTTTTCCTACAAACTATTATTCTGCAAAAATTATAAACCAAACAAAATGTAATTGATTTTATAATATAAATAATATTTAGTCAAACTAAATTGTTTCATGTACCCATCAGTAATAAATTCTTGGTCATGGACACAATTCTGAAACTGTTTGCTTTAAAACTAAATAAAATAATTTTCCTTTAAATAATATAAATTTTGAAATGTTTCTGTTAAAATGCCTTTCAATAAAAATAAATATAGAGAAAAATCATTCAAAATATACCTTTAGTCCAATTGATTCCATTAAAAGCCAATGCTTCTAAATTATACAGATATTTAGAGTTCAGGTCTATCCAGGACCCAGAGTCATTTAATTGCAGTTAAACGAATGCACAATAGATTGAATTACCAATTGATCAATTCAATTAGGCCATTAAGAAAACTGAAATAAGAGTTTCAGTGGATGGGCCAGTTATTTTAGTCAACCTAGTGCCCAAAGCAGATTTATAATTCAGCAATTCAATCTACTGCTTGGCACTCAGATATCACGAGAACTGAATAAAGCGAACCTGACAATCCCAGGGGCCCCACAATACCTCATACATTCCCCATCACGTGCAACAAAATACTTCAAACCATCTCGACCTTACTTAGTGTTGTATTACCATTATTTCCCCCAAAAAAACCCTGTGCGACAATTTAATACTAACTTACTCTGTTAAAAACATACAATTCCTAATAAGCAAGAATTCAATTTCTGTCTTAAAACATCAATCAAATTAAATTACTGATTTCCCTACCTTTGCATGAAAGAATTATGCATTTAATCTGGAAAATATAAAATGTTATGAGGAAATCTTAAGCAAGTATGACATTTAAAAGTTTGTAATTAATTTTGAACACAGTAGCACCACTATTCCACACCCAATCTCAGAGAAATATGCCACTGCCTTACTTTTACTGAGCCTGGTTTCCACCCTCTCCCTCATATGCCTTATGTGATGTGTTTCCAAGACTTATCCTTAATGAAGATCCCTCATCTTCATTTCTGAATCCTGTCTGATACCACCATGGGTCAGTTCTCTCCAGGTTAATGCCACACATTCTACCTTATCTCCCTCCCTTCAGTTTATTTTCCTTACATCCAGTTCGTCCCCTCCAACACTTCCTGTGCCCTATGACCTTGTTAAAAAGACTAAGTGCATATTGGGTATCTACCTAAAGATACAAATGTAGTGATCCAAAAGGGCACGTGCACCTGAGTGTTTATAGCAGCAATGTCCACGATAGCCAAACTATGGAAAAACCTATATGTCCATCAACAAGTGAATGGATAAAGATTATATATAATATCTTATATATATATATTTATATTTATATATACATATATATTTATATATGTATTAAATATAGATATGTATTAAATATATATTAAATATATATGTATTTATATATTATATATATCAATTATATATTATATATTATAATATATATTAAATATATATGTATTAAATATATATGTATATATACATATATATATATAAAAATATATATTATATATAGTATTCCATTATATATAATGGAATACTATGTAACCATCAAAAAAACCCCAAATCTTGCTATTTGCCACAATGTGGATAGAACTAGAGTGTATTATGCTAAGTGTAATAAGTCTATCAAAGAAAGACAATTATATGATTGTTAGACAATTATATGATCTCTCTGATATGAGGAATTTGAGAGGCAGGGTGGGGGTTTGTGGGGGGAAGGGAAGGAAAAATGAAACAAGATGGGACCGGGGAGGTACATAAACCATAAGAAACTCTTAATCTCAGAAACAAACTGGGGGCGGGGGGGGGGGGGGGGAGAATGGGAGGAAGGGATAGGGTGGTGAGCTGATGGACATTGAGGAGTGTATGTGCTATGGTGAGTGCTGTGAATTGTGTAAGACTGATGATTCACAGATCTGTACCCCTGAAACACATAATACATTATATGTTAATTAAAAAATAAATTAAAAAAAAAACTAAGTGCAGGTCCCCTGAAAAGCTATGATGTCTCCTTTCTCTATGCTGTGCTGATGCTGCTCTTCTGACCTGGGGTACACTTCCTTGCCTTTCAAAACTGGTACCTGGCATTTCTACGTGAGGGGATGCCACTACATTTCTTCATTCACAGCATAGTCCACTTTCTTTGTCTGTTGGGGTTTTTTTGTTTGTTTGGTTGGTTGGCTGGTTGGTTTTTTTAAGATTTTATTTTTTTATTTGAGAGACAATAAGAAATAAGCACAAGCAGGGGGAGCAGTAAGCAAAGGGAGAGGGAGAAGCAGGCTCCCTACTGAGCAGGGAGCCTGATACAGGGCTCAATCCCAGAACTCTGGCATCATGACCTGAGTTGAAGGCAGACGCTTAACCTACGAGCCACCCACATGCCCCATGTTTTCCCCACTACGTTACTGCTGTTTTAGGGCACAGTCTCTCAAGTTTGGATTCCTAAGAACCAGCATGATGGCAGGTATATTAAATTCACTCAAAAGTTTGTTGAATGATGTATTCATTTATTTAGTAAATAAACTGAAATTGCTAACTGAATAGCACCATTTCAAAACAACTACTTGATTCTTAAAATCTGAATTTAATGGATCTCAGTTACTTGGTGATATCAAGCACTTAATTTATAAATGGGGCAACTTTTACTTTACATAAACTTTAATAAGAACATCAAATTATATATTAATTAGTACTAGATAACTCTCTACACACATTAGCATTTATGTTTCAAACTAATACAAAAACAGATATCTTCAATCAAGATAGTACTTAAACGACCATGAAGAAGAATATATATTTTTTAAAGAATGGTGACTATTCAGATACCACTTTAATACTTATAAATTTGATGGTTTCCTATTTTAACTAATTCCATCTTATGTGATTAAATAGGCATTAGAATAGAGAGATCTCTCTATGTAATTTATTACTTCCTCATATTGGTACTTATAGAAAACAGATATCGATTCAGAAAGGATTAGCAAGATTTTAAAAATGAGAAAATCATAAATGGCAATTAAAAGAAACTGGAATTGACCATCCATCCATCCATCCATCCACTCATTCTCTCACTCAATTTTGTACCTGTGGATTTGTGTATTTGAACTCTAAAACAACTTGTAAACTCAGTGATAAATTGGACAAACATATGCTCCTTCAGTAGATACTTTACATGATCAGTAGCAGAGAAAACAAACTTAACCAAGTGTGACAATAATGTGTGTGTGTATTTATTACCTCACCTCATAAGTTCTTTTTAAAGTTTATATTTGAATTTGTAGAACTTCAAGAAAATTTCTCATTAGCTGTAATAACTTCAAAAAATTTTCCATTTCCATTCAGATAAAAAAATACCCATACACTTCCAAAGTACCCTGACATATCCTTGATTTTATCCAAATTAATATTATGAAATTTGGCTTTAAATAAACTCTCCACAAATTATAATGCAAATGTGTCTTACAAGGTGAATAAATGTAAATGGTATTTTGGTGGTTATGTCTCTGTGTCTTTCAAAACTTTCTATTTCAGATTTAATATTTAATTAGTCCAACTTTATTCCTTAATACCTCTGGAAAACACACCTTTCAGTCATAGTAAGATAGGCTAACATAGTCTTGCCAATTTGCTGGTGGCTTTCCTAGGCTTCCCATCTGATTGACTTAGATGCATTATTAAGGACATATGAATATAAATATTTAAAATTTTTGTGTATCTAATGGATGCCTAAATAAATGCACGCATGTGTTGGAAATAAATGCTACATTTGCATCTGTCACTGCCTAGTGGATGGAAGGAAACAGCGGTGCTGATGATTATTGACACATTTAAGTCAGTAACCCTGTAACTGATGGAGGAGAGAGTATACAAAAGAATTAAAAGAGGATTCAAAATGTCTTTATCAAAGTACCTGGAAATGTTCAAACTGCCAGTTTACTTTTGAAGAGACTTAGGAATGTTACCCTCTACCTAGCTGAAGGACTTGTGAGAACTATACGCAGCATGTAGAGACAAAAGCCAACATCAATGCTTTGATAGGGGGTCTGTCCCAACTACTCAAGTGCGTGTCTTCTTTGTGATTCTCACAAATAAGTCTTTATAAACCCTCCAAGTGCAACTAAATGAGAAAGTAGATATTACATAGAAGATCGTAGCAGTTATTGCAAGAGAGGAGTTGTTAGAAAATCTCCGGTCTAACCTCTGGTCATTTAGGAGAGGAAAAGGAGGCCAGAGTCTTAGATTTGCCAGAAGAGAAAGGAAGATTAAGATAGAAGAAAACAACTTTCCTTATCATAGTATCAGTCCCAACATATTGTAATGATTTACATGCCCATGTTCACCCAGAACTCTAAAAAACCAGGCTCTGTGTCAGTCTTAATCATTGCTACATCCCTGTACATAGCACCGTGTTTCTCAAAAATAAGTATATGAATTGGTGAGGAAATGAATGTTCAGTATTAACCTGGGGAACATTCTTAACCTTGCAGAGCCTCACTGTCATCCTTTGAAAATGGGGATAATATTCACGGCTTCTTAGAATGTTATCAGGGGAAAATAAAGTAATACATTAATGATGCTTGGCAGTGAGCTTTACACAAAGAAGCGCTCATTGTGTATTAATGGAATGAGTGAATGCATCCATGAATAAAGCCAGATATAAAGAAAATATATATTTCTCGGGAAACTTCAGCTACAAGACTGGGAAGAATATAGAAAGCTTTTGGCTTACCCTCATCTAATGTCTCATTTGGATAGAAACAAACAAACAAACAAACAAACAAATGTAAAGCAAAACCCCAGAATTTAAAGCCAATTACAAAGCATTTGTTAAAGGGAACATTGTTGTTCAAACGACTCCAAAGAATATAATTCATAAGAAAATAAAAAGCACAGCCATACCTGACAGAATTCTGACTTCGGCTTCATTTCCTGTTCTTGAGCTGGCTGGATTCCGAGCTAAGCATCGATAGATTCCAATGTCCCCTGGTTGAAGTCGGCTGATCTGCAAGGCTCCAGAGGGCAAGACTACCACTCGGGAGTCTCCTGGGATAGGAATCAGGTCTTGTTGGTTTTTTTGCCAGTGTATTGTTGGCATAGGTTCCCCGATGACTTCACACTTGAGTAGCACTGTGTCTCCCATGAAAGCTGTGACAGATTCTGTCTGGGATAGGAACCTCAGTGGTCCTAGGGGAAAAAGAGAGAAGGAAGGATAAATCCATTAGAAAAGGCATAATAATCATCAATAAAAATAATCACATTGGTATTCTTTATAGAAAATTGTATTTGAGGGGAGCCTGGGTGGCTCACGGGTTAAGACTCTGCCTTCAGCTCAGGTCATGAACTCAGGGTCCTGGGATTGAGCCCCACATCAGGCTCTCTGCTCAGGAGGGAGCCTGCTTCCCCCTCTCTCTCTGCCTGCCTCTCTGCCTACTTGTGATCTCTCTCTCTGTAAAATAAATAAATAAAATCTTTAAGAAAAAAAATTCTATTTGATGTTTTGTCCAATTTTATCTCATTTGCTCTTCATATTTTACCACATTATGTGTCTGACATTACAATAGTTTCTTTGACTAAAAAAATGATAAACGTATTGCCATTGATCTCTAGAAGCTTATTATTTTGTTATTCTTCATTTATAAAACAGCCTTGTAAAATAAACAGAATACACAAGAACATCCTAATTTTACATATAAGGAAAATGAAGTTCAGAGAAATGGAATTCCACACACAAGCTTACACCATCCTGCAAATAAGACCTGGTTTTTTTTTTTTTTTTTTTTTTTTAAGTTGACTCCAAACATAATGTAGGACTTGAACTCATGACCCTGAGATTAAGAGTTACTTGCTCTACTGACTGAGCCAGGCAGGCACCTAGTTCTTTTGAATCCTGGTCCTATGTGCTTCCAAGTACATGCCTTTGGACAAAGGATTATGAAGTTAAGGAGATTCACAAAGGACTGGCCAAATGGCATAGCCTACAGCAATTTCAATAAAGATGGGTGACATTAACCACTAATTATAGTAACAGAGAACACTCTTGTTTGGGTTGACTGCTTCAGGTATTTGCCAGTTATAGTTGTGGTTTAGATTAGCTTGTGTTTCCAGCCTGGCTGGGTGATCTACTCTGTAAGATTCCTTTGGTAACTTTTTTCATTTCTTTGGGCTATAATATGTGATAAGAGCTAACTCAACTCATACAACCACTGTGATGTTCATGTACAGTAACATATGAAAAAGATGCATTCATATGGATGATTAAGCAAATGTAGGAAAAAGAAAAATAAAAAAAGAAATGACAAAAAGAAAATAAATTGACCATTACTGAGCATGAGCATAGTGAAAGAGAAGTCTCCTATATCATGATGTTGTACATGAGAAGGGTAAAAAATATTTTGATCTTGCCCTTTTTGTGAACAGATGGATATTTATGACCCTATTGCTTTGACAGTAAAAACTTTTTAAATATAAACATATTTGAATGAATTATGCCATCACTGATAGAACATTAGCGATTTTATTTTCTAGAGTTCATTTAATTAAATAATTTTAAATTCCTTGATTCATGTTTCATTCATTACAGTTATATTCCAATATTTTGATTTTCACTTCAATCTTTTTGGAATTGTTTTCATTGTGTGTTCATTTCATAATAAAATTTAATTCAGTCATCATTTTGGGATTCAAATCAAGTTTTTCTGACCATATTTTATGTTACTGCGATGTTTTTGATTTTATAGATTTGTATTAACTGAGTCAAAATTTCCTAGGCCCAGGATCAAATTTTACCAATAAATTTTCCATCAATATGTAGGTAATAACAAATTCTATTGTACTCAGTTTTAACTACTATTAGTTTTATTTTGGGTCTATTAATTCTCACAAACCTAACTTTCCTTACAATTTGAAAAAAAATTTGGATAAGTCAAAGGGGGAAAGACAGGATGACTTAAATAAAACATCATAATTAAATATGGGAGACAATCAGAAATGCTATAGAGGAGCCTCCTTCTGTAGCTGAAAGTGGGATTTCATTATCTCTTTCAGGGATTAGACTATTTGAACCACCAGATAATTGAATCTATGAAATAGGAAATTATATCAATATCACATATAGAACAGGTAGAAGATATCAAAGATGGTTTGCCACTCATTATACCTACATTCACATTAACAGACTTGCAGACCTATAAATGCAATATTAAGGCTGTTCTTAAGTAAGAATGATTAATTCTAGACCATGCAGAACCACTCATACTTGTGCAAATATTAATTTATCAATTGAAATTTATCCCAAACACAAGGTACTAAAATTATTCATCTGGATCCCCAGTTAAGGCTTTAGAATCTGGATTCCTGGATTTGTCTGTCTCCATGCTACAAATGTATCAACAGGGGGTACCAGCCACATGCATAATTCTATTCTTATTTTGTATCCAGAATTATTACATAACTATGCTAGATTTACCACTGAGTAAAGACCAAAAGGAATCTGCTAACTTGTGTCCTGGCTCATTGTTCAAAGTCCAGTTTCTACACTCTTTGTAGTGTCACGTCTAGTCTATTCAAAATTTAAGTACATTAATCTACAACTGATTGCTAAAGTATAGATTTAAAGCATGTACTTAAACAGATAATGGCTGTATATATGACACAAGGTAAAACTGCAATGGATAGTCAGCCAGATGTTGCAAATGTTACGTAGGACAACAGATTTTTTCAAATTTTTTTTATTTAATAGTTTTCTTCTTGGCCTCCACTTCTTATATTTTATTTTGTAGTTAAGGAAATATAGTTGGAATAATTTACCTACACATACAAATTAATGTGTTTTATAAAACACAGGAAAAATATTTTGAATAAATTGATGAAGTATCTGGATACTTACATATATTCAGCTATACATTCTTGTATAAGTTATACACAATGGATAAAGTTCTCAATACATACTTTATGTTTAAATGTCTGTGGTGTTCCAAAAACTCGCTTACTAAATTCTAGTTAATAAATATAATAGAATAAAATATTGAATGAAAGGGTGAAAGCATACCTTGGAGATACTGTAGGTTCAGTTCTAGAGCAACTCAATAAGGTAGATATTGTGATAAAGTAAGTCAAATGGACTTTTTGGTTTGCTGGTTCATATAAAAGTCGTGGTTACACTCTATTGTAATCTATTAAATGTGCAATAGCAATACATAGCATACCTTAATTTAAAAGTACTTTATTGCTAAAAAATGCTGGGGGAGGTTTGGGGGGATGGGTTGGCCCAGTGATGAGTATTAAGGAGGGCACATATTGCATGGAGCACTGGGTGTTATATGTAAACAATGAATCTTAGAACACTACATCAAAAACTAATAACATTTAAAAAAAAAAAAAAAAGCTAAGCATCATTTGGGCTTTCAATAGCTTCAAGTCTTTTTTGCCAGTAGAGTCTTGCCTCACTGTTGATGGCTGCTGACTGATCAGGGGGTGGTGGTTGCTGAAGGCTGGGGTGGCTGCGGTAATTTATTAAAGTAAGACAACAATGAGGTTTGTTGCAGTGATTGACTGTTCAATTAGTGAACAATTTCTCTGTAGCATGTGATGCTCTTTGATAGCATTTTACCCAGAGTAGAACCTCTTTCAAAATTGGAGTCAGCCCTGCTGCTGCTTTTTCAACTAAATTTATGTAATATCCCAAATCCTTTATTTTCATTTCAATAATATTTGCAGCACCTTCACTATGAGTAGATTCCACCTCAAAAAAAACCACTGTCCTTGCTCATTGGTGAGAAGTGACTCCTCATCCGTTTGAGTTTTATCACCAGACTGCAACAATTCAGTCATATTTTCAGGCTCCACTTCTAATTCTAGTTCTCTTGTTATTTTCACCACATTCATAATTTACTTCCTCCACTGAAGTCTTCAATCCCTTCGACTCACCCAAAGTGTTGAAATCAACTTCTCCCAAACTCCTGTTAATGTTGGTGCTTTGACCTCCTCCCATGAATCATATATAGGATTAATGACATCTAGAATGGTGAGTCCCTTCCAGAAGGTTTTTAATTGACTGTCCTATTGCATCAGATGGGTCACTATCAATGGCAGCGATAGCCTTACAAAATGTATTTCTTAAATAATAAGATTTGAAAGTCCAAATTATTCCTTGATCCACGGCTTCAGAATGGATGTTGTGCTAGCAGGCATGAAAACATTAATCTTGTTGTGCATCTCCACCAGAGCTCTAGAGATACCAGGTACCTTGTCAAAGAGGAGTAATATTTTGAAATGATTTTTTTTTTCTGAGCAGTATGTCTCAACAGTAAGCTTAAAATATTCAGTAAACCATGTTGTAAACAGATGTGCTGTCATCTAGGCTTTGTTGTTCCATTTATAGAGCAGAGTGGAATTAGCACAATTCTTAAGAGCCTGAGAATCTTCAAAATGGTAAATGAGCCCTGGCTTCAACTTAAAATCACCAGCTACATTAGTCCCTAAGAAGAGAGTCAGCCTGTCGTTTGAAGCTTTGACTTCTCCTCTCTAGCCATGAAAATCTTAGATGACATCTTCTTCCAAGAGAAGGCTATCTTGTCTACATTGAAAATCTGTTGTCTAGTGTAGCCACCTTCATTAACTACCTTAGCTGGACCTGGATAACTTGCTACAGCTTCTACATCACCATTTTCTATTTCTCCTTGCATTTTGGTATAATAGAGGTGGATTCTTTCCTTGAACTTCATTAAACAACGATTGCTATCTCCAACCTTTCCTTCTGCAGCTTCTTTACCCCCTCTCAGCCTTCACATAATTGAAGAGATTTAGGGTATTGCTCTGCGGTAGACTTTGGCTTAAGAGAACGTTATGGCTTGTTTGACCTTCTATCCAGACCACTAAAACTTTCTCCATATCAGCAATAAGGTTGTTTCGCTTTCTTATCATTTCTGTGTTCATGGGAATAGCATTTTTAAATTCCTTCAAGAAGTTTTCCTCCGCACAATCTGGCTGAATCACAATTGATTGTTTGGGGCAAATGCTTAGCTTTTGGGCTGTCTTGGCTTCTGATGTACCTTCCTCCCTAAGCTTAATAATTTCTAGCTTTTGTTTTAATATGAAAGATGAATGACTTTTTCTTTAACTCGAGCACTTAGAGGCCACAGAAAAGTTATTCATTGGTCTAATTTCAATACTGTGTCTTGAGGAAG